GGGTAATGCGAGAGACGCGCGTGCATAGGAGGCAGACTTGTCTGACACCGAGATTGCCCGGGCCATAACTGGCAAGTTTGGTAGCCTTACCTACGACCAAAATACCCAAAATGAAAGATGTGATAAGAGGAAGACCTAAAGCGATTCGAGGTGGTGGTGGTGGTGGCGAGGCTGGATATTTGGTCAAATGAGGACGATCAACTACGGCACAAGGCGAAGACCTAAAGCCAAAACTACGAACTATTTTTTTTGTTTAACCAAGTAAAGCCCAACCGAGCTATATAACTCTTTTTCAGAAGCGACCTGGCTATCGCAAATCAAAGTTCAACGAAGTGGCTTATCGTCACGTGCAAATGTATAGCGCACCTAATAACTCTAAAACGCACCGTGATTCTAAATGTGGAGGGAATAACCAGAGGACCCGGAGAAAAATCCATGCGACCACGTGGAGCGAGAGAGACACCGCAAACTCCAAATATACAGCAGCAGACATCAGGGTCGGGATCGAACCAACGACCTCCTGTAGACCAGGCGAGGTAGTTAACATCTCCTAGCCACCGTGATTGATGATGATGATGATGAGAGAGAGACACGCAAACTCCAAATATACAGCAGGCGTCAGGGTCGGGATCGAACCCACGACCTCCTGTATACCAGGCGAGGTAGCTAACATCTCATAGCCACCGTGATGATGAGAGAGAGAGACACCACAAACTCCAAATATACAGCAGGCGTCAGGGTCAGAATCGAACCCACGACCTCCTGTATACCAGGCGAGGTAGCTAACATCTCATAGCCACCGTGATGATGAGAGAGAGAGACACCACAAACTCCAAATATACAGCAGGCGTCAGGGTCGGGATCGAACCCACGACCTCCTGTATACCAGGCGAGGTAGCTAACATCTCATAGCCACCGTGATGATGAGAGAGAGAGACACGCAAACTCCAAATATACAGCAGGCGTCAGGGTCAGGATCGAACCCACGACCTCCTGTATACCAGGCGAGGCAGCTAACATCTCCTAGCCAGGGTGGCACCCAGATTGTGGTGGTGGGGGGAAAGAATTAAAGCGGAACTTGGAGGTCTGTAATCGACTGCGAAACAGCTGCAAGTCAGAGAAAAGAAACGGTAATTTGGTAACGAAGATAATCAACTGTATGGAGAGTTCATGGGCATCACACGGCAGCGTACATATAAAATGGGTAACACATTTAGGGGAAGTCAGGAGTGTCTGGTCGCGCTACGGATCGATTCGCCCCATACCACAGAGGCATGCAGAATTTCCACCGTCGTATCAGATAAGCACCAGCTCAAATTTGAGAAGGGATGATCATGAACTTTAATTTGTTACGGTGAATAAAATCACTGCACTTGGGATTGAATCGTGTCTGAATGGGTGTTGACCAGGATTACCACGTGTTATTGCCTCCTGCAAGGATATGAAAGTTGGCTGTGCAGACAAGGAAGTAAGGTAGATTTTATCGACATGTTATCTACCTGGCTTGGTATGCAGGAGGCCGTGGGCTCCATCTTGACCCTGACGCCTGCTGTATATTTGGAGTTTGTGGTGGCTTTCTTCCCGTGGTTGTAGGGATTTTTCTCCGGGTCCTCCGGGTTTTCTCTCCACATTTAGAATCAACATCGCGTATTTTAGAATATTTTGCTGCTATACATTTCCACGTGATGATGATGATGATGAGCCCACTCCGTTGAGCCATCATTTGTGATTGCCAGGTCGCTTCTGAAAATGAGCTACATAGCTCAGTGGGGCCTTATCTTGTAAAATAAAAAGATGCGAATAGTTTATTGGACTTTACACCGATGCTCTCGTGTCTACGCTTCCCCGCCTTCACAATGAAGTATGCTCAAATAACCCCCACAAATACAAACGAAGATCCACCAAATTTCGATTTGAAGCTTTCGTGACTGCAGGGATTCATATTCTTGGTTCTTTCGGTAAAGTCACGTAGAAGGGAAATAATAAAATAATAAAAATAAAACATAATACAATTCTCACGACGTTTCGATTGCAACACACGCACTCATCATCAGGTGTGAAAACCACGTTTGTGGTGAGAATTTTATTGTTTTGTTTTTATTATTTTATGAGTTCCCTTCTACGTGACTTTACCGAAAGAACAAAGAACATAAAATATCCACCACTTAGCCTGAACGGAATGTTGGAGGCAAGTGCGGTTTGCGAGCACCAATGAAGGCCGGCACGCCACACGAGGGGGTGGGTGGCCAGCACCACGCCTGGCCGCCTTTGTCTCCCCAGTGGCGATGTTCACACACTCATTTGAGGCCGAGTCGACCTAGGGGAGGCCAATAATTTGTTCTGCTAATCATCACTGGTGTTGGTGGCCGTGAGCGGGAATCGAACACGGCTTTCTGCTGGGTTTCGTAGTGCTAATCTGCTACACTACCGCTCCCCAATGCACACACACGGGGAGAGGAGAGGCCTTCATCCAGCAGTGGATAAACAAAAGGGGGATGGACATGTTCAGCGTGGAAATGCGTCCACCGCTTTGGGACGGCGATCTCCTCTTGAGATTAAGATGCTCGTTTACATTGAGCCCTGCCCGTAATGTTAACAATTACCAAAGGAAAGGCTGAGTTAAGGATCATAATTGCGCCACTGTTTAAGATCTAACAAATGATTTGGGAGGTCATTCAGAGGCCAGAGACTCTAAAGTGGCAAAAACCCGAAATAATGGATTTGAAAATCCAGATTTCTGGCACTGCATGCGATTATGTATGTACGTGTGTGTGTATGTATGTTGCAGGGGAAGGACAGCAAACTAAACACACAAAAGCAGTCTATGGGCAGTGTTGAGTCTATGGGCAGTGTTTAGTCAATGGGCAGTGTTGAGTCTATGGGCAGTAATCTTGATTTGAAGTTTTTGCGACTGCATGGATCCATACTCTTTGGTTATTTCGGTAAAGTGACGTCGGTATAAAATAAAATAAAATGGGCAGTTTTGAGTCTACGGGCAGTGTTGAGTCTATGGTGCAGTGTTGAGTCTATGGGCAGTGTTGTATGTATGAATGTATGTTGAACTTCTCTCGAACCGTACATAGACAAGCGTGCTAATCGTAGGTGTGGGGGAAGGACGCCTAACTAAACACACAATAAGCAGTTGTAAGTAAATGAGTGTTTCAATATCGATTTAAACCAGGTTGTCAATTGGAGCGAGTTTATTGTCTTCGCCCGGTCACCAATGACTGCTACATATAAAACGAAACGATTAAACTCTTATTATTTGACCAGGTAAGACCCACTGAGCTATATAGCTCTTTTTCAGAAGCGACCTGGCTATCACAAATGATAGCTCAACGAAGTGGCTCATCATCACGTGGAGATGTATAGCAGCCTAATACTCTAAACACGTAATATTGATTCTAAATGTGGTGGGGAAAACCGGAGGACCCGGAGAAAAATCCACGCAACCAAGGGAAGAGAGAGATGCAAACTACAAATATGCAGCAGGCGTCAGGGTCGGGATCGAACCCACGACCTCCTGATACCAGGCGAGGTACTTAACATCTCCTGGCCACCGTGATGATGATAAAAGAGAGAGACACGCAAACTCCAAATATACAGCAGCAGGCGTCAGGGTCGGGATACAACCCACGACCTCCTGTACACCAGGCGAGGTAGTTAACATCTCCTACCCACCGTCCCCCCCTCACCAAACCTGGTTTAAGCAAAGTTTTGGCAGCTGATACCTCGCTTCGAATTTCGAACTCTGGCTCTGAAGTGGGTGACCCGTTTCAATGTCTCTCACTCGAGAGAGAGAGTCCCAGGCAAGTGAGTGAGTGTGTTTTAGACTCTCTTAGTCACCCGGGCCACCCGGTCTAAGCAGAGTTGTGGCAACTGATACCTCGCTTCGAATTTTAATCCCAGGCTCGCAAGCGATACCAGCTGAGTGTCTTCCCGACTCTGTGGGCACATCCCAGCCACTTCGTCCTTGTGGAGTTTATTTTATTTCTTAACTCGTGACCCCCTGGGAAAGAAAAACCCGTCCGGAACGTCAGGATGTTGCAATGTAACGACGCGAGGGAGTTTGCGGAATAAAACATATGAGAAAGACGTGACCTTCCTAAAGCTGCACGAGGCCAGGCGTAGCTACGATTGTGGAGTCGCAGCCACACATCAACCGATGACTTTGAAACATTCGCTCCACGCACTGATGCACAACTCAGAATTTGACTGCCGTGTCCCAGAGTGGTTTGGGGTTGTTCCCACGTAACAAACATTAAAAAAACAAATACACAGGGAGGAAGAGAGGAACAGAAAATAAGGTTCAAAATAGTAATTATAAACGTAACTTAACTATTAACTTTTTTTATTATAGCACGTAAGGCTCCACAGAGCTCTGTGTCTCTGTTTTCAGAAGCGACCTGGCGAACACAAATGATAGCCCAACGAAGTGCGCTCATCGTCATCATGTGGAAGTGTACAGCAGCCAAATAACTCTAAACGCGTGGTGATGTCCATCCTAAATGTGGAGCGGTAAAAAAAAAACCCCGAAGGACCTTGAAAAAAATCCACGCGACCACGTGGAGAGAGAGAGACACCGCTAACTCCAAATATACAGCAGCAGGCGTCAGGGTCGAGATCGAACCCACGACCTCCTGCACACCAGGCGAGGTAGTTGATATCTCCTAGTCACCGTGATGATGATGAGAGAGACACCGCAAACTCCAAATATACAGCAGCAGGCGTCAGGGTCGAGATCGAACCCACGACCTCCTGCATACCAGGCGAGGTAGTTGACATCTCTAGGCAGGCACACAAGCGATTCGGTAGGTAGCTAGATAACTCCGTAGGTAAGTAGTTAAGGGCACGCAGTTCTGCGAAAAGCCCGTCTGGTGTGGTCGACAAATCCCTGTGCAGCTGCGACCCCCACACAACGCAACGCACCTGAAGCGAGTGTCACGGTGAATATGGCATTTGTCTTTAAAACGACTCTGAAAAACTGACAGCGAACTCACCCAGAGTTGCAGGCAGGAGGAGCAGCAGATGGACTGCTATCATCACGCGCTGCGCAAAGCAGAGTGTGTCCATGCTCGCACGTCCGCCTTTGTCTCTCTCTCTCTCTCCTCTCTCCAACACCAGCACACACAGACACGAGAAGTCACTCGCTCGCTCGCCTCTCTCTTGGCTCTCACTTTGTATGCAAGGAGGAGGGGGAACGGACAATCGAAGCGGGGAAGAGGACACGTGACGCGGAGGAATCGATTCCCCCGGTTGAGTAATCGACGGCTTTCGATTCGCTCCAAAAGTGATGACAGTGATCATGATCAATGTCGATGTCAATGGTGATTTTTTTTCATTGATTAGGTATAACCCTGTGAGCCGTGCGGCGCTTGACTCGGGTGCAACCGCAACAAAAACATGAACAAGAAGCATCTTAAAATTGACTACACGCAAGAGAAAAATCCTGGAAAAAACAGCAAAATCTTCCAGAAAAAAACACCGCACTGATGGTGCTGATGATGATGGTAGTGATGGTGATTAATGTTGATGTCTGTGGTGATGGTGCTGATTATGATGGTAGTGATGGTGATGGTGCTGATGATGGTGATGGTAGTGATCGTGATTAATGTTGAAGTCAGTGGTGATGGTGCTGATGATGATGGTAGTGATGGCGATTAATGTTGATGTCAGTGGTGATGGTGCTGTTGATGATGGTAGTGATGGTGATTAATGTTGATGTCAGTGGTGATGGTGCTGATGATGATGGTAGTGATGATGGTGATGGTAGTGATGGTGATTAATGTTGAAGTCAGTGGTGATGGTGCTGATGATGATGGTAGTGATGGTGATTAATGTTGATGTCAGTGGTGATGGTGCTGATGATGATGGTAGTGATGATGGTGATGGTAGTGATGGTGATTAATGTTGAAGTCAGTGGTGATGGTGCTGATGATGATGGTAGTGATGGTGATTAATATTGATGGCAGTGGTGATGGTGCTGATGATGATGGTAGTGATGGCGATTAATGTTGATGTCAGTGGTGATGGTGCTGATGATGATGGTAGTGATGGCGATTAATGTTGATGTGAGTGGTGATGGTGCTGATGATGATGGTAGTGATGGTGATTAATGTTGATGTCAGTGGTGATGGTGCTGATGATGATGGTAGTTATGGTGATGAATGTTGATGTGAGTGGTGATAGTGCTGATGATGATGGTAGTGATGGCGATTAATGTTGATGTCAGTGGTGATGGTGCTGATGATGATGGTAATGATGGTGATTAATGTTGATGTCAGTGGTGATGGTGCTGATGATGATGGTAGTGATGGTGATTAATGTTGATGTCAGTAGTGATGGTGCTGATGATGATGGTAGTGATGGTGATTAATGTTGTTGTCAGTGGTGATGGTGCTGATGGTGATGGTAGTGATGGTGATTAATGGTAATGTGAGTGGCAGTGATGGTGGTGGGTAGTGGTGATGATGGTGTTGATGTTAATGGTGACGATATGGATGATTATGTTGATGTCAAAGAAGATGTTTGCAAAGGAGATTATCTTTGTTATCAAATGACCGTTTCTTCCTTTTGGCATATCCTTACAACTGTTGCACAATTTATACGATACATCCAAGTTCCGCTTTAATTATTTCCCCCACCACTACTATCTGGTAGCAAGATGTTAACTACCTCGCCTGGTATACAGGAGGTCGTGGGTTCGATCCCGACCCTGACGCCTGCTGTATATTTGGAGTTTGCGTGTCTCTCTCTCTCATCATCATCACGGTGGTTAGGAGATGTTAACTACATCGCCTGGTCTACAGGAGGTCGTGGGTTCGATCCCGACCCTGACGCCTGCTGCTATATATTCAGAGTTTTCGTGTCTCTCTTTCTCCCCGTGGCCACGTGGACTTTTCCCTCCACCTTTGGAATCAACACCACGCGTTTGAGAGTTACTTGTTTGCTATAAATGTCCACGTGATAAGCCACTCCGTTGGGCTATCATTTGTGATTGCCAGGTCGCATTGGGAAAATAGCTATTTAGCAACTCAGTGGGGCCTTACACCTGGTAAATAAAACAAATAGTTAAATAGTAAATAGTTAAATGGCCATGAGGTGCCACACCACACTATACTATCTTCATTTTACCAGCCTCAACTGAGCTATTACTGCTCTTTTTCAGAAGCGACCTCGCTACACATGATATCCCAGTGAGATGGGAGTTCATAGCATCCCAATAACTCTAAACACGGGTTTCTAAATGTGGAGGGAAAACCCGGAGGACACGGAGACAAATCTACGCAACTACGGGGAGAGAGAGACATTTTTTCAGTTTTTCAGTATCATTTATTAGGTATAGCCCTGTGAGCCATTCGGCTCTTGAATCGGGTGCAACCGCAAAAAAAAAAACAAAAAAACATGAACAAGAAAACACTTAAAGTGATTATGCGCAAACAGAAAAAAATATTAATAATCAACGTTTTTGGGTTTAGATCGCGTTATTAATAAATGTGTCGTAACCCTCCACCACCCGACACGGCCAATCATAAAAAAAGTGTCACGTTGACAAAAGACAAATAGTTCACTGCTTTAGCCCACCGGTTGATTATGAATAATATTGGTCGCGAAAGCCTACGAGAAAAAAAAATATATAGCAAGCGTCGGGGTCGGGATCGAACCCACGACCTCCTGTATACCATACGAGGTAATTAACATCTCACAGCGACCGAGGTGCCCACGTATGCAGAGTTCACACCACATACGCTGTGGAACATTACCACCCACAATGCCCCTCAATAACGCAACGTCATTTCAAGTTTCTTAAATAACCTCGCCCACCTCTGTCGAGGCCATTCAGTAGAAGTTTGTTTTACCACAGATAGTCAAATCGGCAGGCGACGTGTGGTGTGAAGCAAAGTCCGATCAGCGTGGAAGAGTATACCAAATACCCTCTCTCGTAGAAACCTTTCCATGAGCTTTGGCCAGCGAAAGGAAGCAAGCAATTGTCTGTGTGTATGTTGAACTTCTTTCGCACCGTAAGTAGCCAACTCTGCTAATCAGAGGTGCGGGGGAAGGACAACAAACTAAACACAAAAAGCAGTCTATGGGCAGTGTTGAGTCTGTGGGCAGTGTTGAGTCTATGGGCAGTGTTGAGTCTGTGGGCAGTGTTGAGTCTGTGGGCAGTGTTGAGTCTGTGGGCAGTGTTGAGTCTGTGGGCAGTGTTGAGTCTATGGGCAGTGTTGAGTCTGTGGGCAGTGTTGAGTCTGTGGGCATTGTTGAGTCTGTGGGTAGTGTTGAGTCTGTGGGCAGTGTTGAGTCTGTGGGCAGTGTTGAGTCTATGGGCAGTGTTGAGTCTATGGGCAGTGTTGAATCTGTGGGCAGTGTTGAGTCTGTGGGCAGTGTTGAGTCTATGGGCAGTGTTGAGTCTGTGGGCAGTGTTGAGTCTATGGGCAGTGTTGAGTCTGTGGGCAGTGTTGAGTCTGTGGGCAGTGTTGAGTCTGTGGGCAGTGTTGAGTTTATGGGCAGTGTTGAGTCTATGGTGCAGTGTTGAGTCTATGGGCAGTGTTGAGTCTATGGGCAGTGTTGAGTCTGTGGGCAGTGTTGAGTCTATGGGCAGTGTTGAGTCTGTGGGCAGTGTTGAGTCTGTGGGCAGTGTTGAGTCTATGGGCAGTGTTGAGTCTATGAGCCGTGTTGAGTCTATGGGCAGTGTTGAGTCTATGAGCCGTGTTGAGTCTATGGGCAGTGTTGAGTCTGTGGACAGTGTTGAGTCCTATGGTGCAGTGTTGAGTCTGTGGGCAGTGTTGAGTCTGTGGGCAGTGTTGAGTCTATGGTGCAGTGTTGAGTCTATGGGCAGTGTTGTGTCTATGGGCAGTGTTGAGTCTGTGGGCAGTGTTGAGTCTATGGGCAGTGTTGAGTCTGTGGGCAGTGTTGAGTCTGTGGGCAGTGTTGAGTCTATGGGCAGTGTTGAGTCTATGAGCCGTGTTGAGTCTATGGGCAGTGTTGAGTCTGTGGGCAGTGTTGAATCTATGGGCAGTGATGAGTCTGTGGGCAGTGCTGAGTCTGTGGGCAGTGTTGAGTCTATGGGCAGTGTTGAGTCTGTGGGCAGTGCTGAGCCTGTGGGCAGTGATGAGTCTGTGAGCCGTGTTGAGTCTGTGGGTGGTGTTGAGTCTGTGGGCAGTGTTGAGTCTATGGGCAAGCGGCCGCTTGTTTTGCGACCGAAACGTCGTGTTTTCTTTCATGATTTTTTTCTAACTACGTGACTTTACCGAAGAACTAGAGAGTATGGATTCCTGCAGTCACGAAAGCTTCAAATCAAGATTAAACAATACAGTACTTGAAAAAGTGCTTTGGGTCCTGCCGCCATTCAATGATGGAGTCTCTCTCGAAGTGCAGCAGATGACTCCGTGTGCTGAAGTTTGTGCCACTCGGAGCACAGCTGCCATTGGAGACTACGTGCCTCTCACATTCTGTTTTGTGGACAGGAGATGAGCGCATATCACAGTGGCCGCACATTTCTGGGTGGGGGGGGGGTGGAACGAGAACTCAGAAAGGGGGGTCGGTGCGGTTGGAGTGCTGAAATGCGTTATTGTTGGTCGGTCGTCCGTGAATTCCTCCATTCCGTTTCACATCGAATCATCGCGGTGTGCGTGCTCAGCCACTCCCCAAGAAACGGTGATGGGGTTTTCGTGTGAGTGTACGCGGTGGTTGCTAGTGGAGATCGTTACGGGTGTGGTCCTTTGGGTGTTTGACTTCTTCTCCTTTATTTAATCTTGATTTGAAGCTTTCGTGACTGCAGGAATCCACACTGTTTGGTTCTTTCGGTAAAGTCACGTAGCTATAAAATAAAATAAATCACGACGTTTCGATCGCAACACAAGCGTCCGTCCTCAGGCGGTGAGGTCAATGTCTGGGGCAGCACTGGCTGGTATCAGAGCCAGATTTACACATATTCTTAGGTTTTTTTCGGTAAAGTCACGTAGGTAAAAAATTAAAATTAATAAAAGTAAATTAAAAAAATATAAAAAATCACGACGTTTCGGAGGCAACACAAGCTTCCGTTTTCAGGTGGAACCGTCACAGCACGACTGCTGCATCAAGTAAGAGAAATTCCAAGAGAACAGTCCTTGTATATCTTCTTGGTTCTTTCGGTAAAGTCACGTAGAAGGGAAGTAATAAAATAATAAAAATAAAACATAATAAAATAATTTTATT